CAAGCGCGAATAGGCTGTTACTGAGCTTGCTGACCTACTAAAAAAAGTATAAATTCCTTGAAACAGGAACCCAGCAAATATTAAGCTACGTTATGTCCAAACTCGACCACCGCACAACTATCACAATAAATTAAACTCGGGTGACGCAAAAGCATTTAAACGTAGGATTGAATCAAAAAGATTGGACTTTTTATTTCTCTGGCTCGGTTGGAATGTGGGTTATCTATCCTAATGTTGCTTAGTAACGGTATATATTTTGGGATACAGAAACTACAAACTTACTAAACGCGCGCTCTGATGGCATTTTGAGCAAGTCAATTAAGATGGTGGATATAATGTCGTGTAAACTCTACAATTTTATCATGTTATTTATCGATCGTAATCTCTTAAGTATCTAATAAAATAGTTTAATTTACATTGCTTAATATTTAATAGAGAACAATTGTTTTTTCCGAGCCGACACTTAATAGTAGCGCGATCCTTATATTACATTATACAGCTATGATATGAGTTTAAAAACTTTTTAATTCAACATGCTTATGTGATAGTTCAACTGCACTACATTTACTTAAAATGGAACTGGTATTACTTTATTAAAATAATGTGACGAACCCGCGTCGAAAATTATGTTAAAATTTAAATCAGCACTCATTTTGATTTGAGACATTGTCTCCCAAAATATCTGAACTAACACGAAATAACTAGTGGCATAAGAGATGTTGTGTGTGAGGTCAGTTAATTGCAATTCAACAAGTTCTGAACATTAATTTGTCTGAGAACAAATGAATGTTCAGAACTTGTTGAATTTTTTGTATTCAAAAAATCAAAATTTGTTGTATTCAGTCATTAATTGTATCAGATAGTACTAATGTGACTCGAGAGTCACATCGTCTAGGTCACGAGTAATACACATTTCAACCTCCGATGTATTACAATTACAAATATATGGAAATGTCAGATCAGCAAACGTTAGACAACAGTTATTACTTTATTATAAATTCTATATTTAGTGTAGGTAATTCTTTAAATCCAACAAATCGGACAAGTACTTCATATTTCTTGAAGCGAAGTCATAGATTTACCGCGTAATTTTTTGTGGTTAGTATTACGTATCCCTAACACGTTACATCGCTTCCCTTGTAACATGTTTTAATATGTAATGAAGTGCATGATGGATTTTTATGACGATTTAAAATGTTGAATTCAGTTTGTATTTCCGGTCATTTTATGCTGCCACCTTGGCTTCGTCCCGCGCTTGGCGACGACCTCTTTAGAATTCCCCTGACTCAGTAGTAAATATTAGCTGGTTTTCGGTGCAAAAAGTCCCAGTTTATCAGACTTATTTAGATAGCAAATAGAAAAGGGCACTTTGGGTGGTGGCTGTTTTAATTTTTATGTGAGTTTTTTTGATTTATTAAGCTATTGCATAGCTTTTATCGCGGGCTTTGAGCGCGGCGACCAAATCAAGAAATTCCGTAACGGAAATAAAACCTAACATCCCCACTCCGCCTACCATGTAGCTCGGCCGAGCGTTCGCTTAACGTGTATGTATATGGTACGACTGTACGAAGCTCGCACGGATGGATATTATAATATTATATTATCACATGATGATATGATATTTAGAGGATATCAAGTCTCAAACTATAAACATATAGTTTCAATGATAAACTTTACTGAATAACCTACATGTATTAAAAGATAATAAAAATATTTTAAACGATATTAACTTCTCATTTATTGAATAAAAAAAATGTTTTCTTATCGATCACCACGCTCAAAAAGTGTAATTTGAACAGTCCCCGAGTGCCACAGGTTTTTTTTTTAATGATATCTTATATACCATTCCCAATTTATAAAATCTAATTAAAACAAACCCTTAAGTATTTTTCGTATTGATTTGTTCTCGCACTGAGTACTACAAGCTACACTACTTTTTTATTTTATCAACACCATAATTCTGTCTTCGTAGTGTCGACGTGGTAATGAATTATGCATAAGAAAAGAGAAGGTGGAGCAGGGCCATGCCTTTGCCGATTCAGGAATGGGCAGGCTCGTCTGGGGAAATACCACGACCTTGCAGATGACCGGCGTGAAGTGGAAGTACCGGACCCCACTTTATTAAAAGGTGGCAACATTTCTGCAACCCTTCGGGTGTTACAAATGTTCATGGGCGGCGTTTATCACTTTGCATCAGGTGAAACGCCAGTTCGCTTGCCACCTTCCCTCATAAAAATCATCGGTTCATGTTGTTAAGATCTCTTCATCCATCGCCCATAGACATCCACAATGCTATTTTTGCATGTCGCTCACCAGGCGTACTTTCCCAAACAAACGGTATGGACGGCGATAATCTCATGAACTTTTGTCACACGCCTTTGAACGCTTTCCAGGTTTTTACATAAAAAAAACCGTGCAAAACTCCTATGCGTCCTACACAATATACAAACAAATAAAGAATTTTTATAACTTTATATTTATAACTTTCCAATAGGCGTTCCATTGTTAATTCTTTACTTGAACTCGACTTGATGTAAATTGGGCATGCAGTGATTATTTCGGATCGGACCCTCTCATTTAACTATAAGGATGGATAACAAGGGGAGGAAAAGGTTTCTGTCTATGGTTACCGGCTCTGGCTATGTTAATCTGTGAGTTTGATAGAGATTTTGTTTATGACATACGCGTGAACCGCCTCATAGAGTGGACGCTGTGCGGCCGCTGCGTTAGTGGTGCGTGCATCGGCGCCCCTCCCAGTTCTGCTTTCTACGCGCGATTTCACTGACGGCGGAGTCGCGTCGCTTTTTGTGCCAACGCACGCGATTATTCACGAGCAGCTTCTGCCTTAGCACCTGTTACGTGACCGCCACGGGCCGTTTTTGCGAGCGGCTTACGGGACTCCGTTTACGTGGTCCACGCAAAAAGCGACTGTCGGTGGGTTTTTTTCTTGCCAAATTGATGATGAAACCAGCTCGATTCGCACTTTTAGCTGTCACCGCCACACGAAAGTCCGTGGTGAACGGTCACGGGATTATGTAGCCCGTTTGGAAGTTAACAGTCTTTTCCGTGTCGCTTTAACTAACAACTGGTGCGGGCTATAAAAGCGCCGGTTAGCAGTTTGCTGAACATTTTTAATGAACAGCATAATTATGAAATGTAAATGATTAAATGTAGTTTAAAGTTATAATAGTGAAGTAATTTAGGTGTTTTATGTTTCCTCATAAATATTTATTGACCTAGACAGCTACGTGGATCTGATTTTGATGAAAAAAAGTACTATATAAGACTGTCCTTGTTAGCAATTAAATATTGTAAACATATGTCCTGCAAGATGTTTAGAAGAATATGACGACTTATTAAGCATGTTACTAACGACAGTGCATAATATATTATCTTCCATATTACATTACTTTGTAGCGGTTAGGGGCACTGCATTCATTTTAAAACACGTGCAATCCTTCCGGGTTTTATCAATGAAACTCATTGAATAGCTTTGCCTTAGTAGAATGGAGCGAGAATTCCAAAGCGCGTATTCTAAATGATTCATGTAGCACAATACCACGGCTGAGTCTACTCGGTAGTTGCAATACAAGATAAGCTTATAAATCGAGCGGCGCTTACAATAGGATTCTTTGGGCGTTTCAGCGCGCGCCTGCGTATCAAAGTCCCAGCTTGAAGCTTTCTTAGCAACGCGAGCGCTGATGACTCACATCTGAGTCAGGTATCGACGTTAGTATATTCCGGATGTAATCTTAAATAATAAAAAAACAACGTCGTTGGATACGTCAGTGGTCTGTGAATCTATATCTTATATTATCTGTGGTTCTTTATGTAGTTTCAATTAAACAATAGCGCTGAATGCTCTGAATTCAAGGTAAAACATAGTTCTATAGTAGAAACGTGCGTGAAGGCCTTAAGAACAGGTTGCGAGCGACTCGTTCACATCTAGATAGTCGACAGATTGCGCGGTTATTGTGAATGGTATGACATGACGTGAATTGACGGCCGTGAATTGTCAATCTGATTATTCTAAGCATAACCTATTTGCTTGCACCTTTGCGTTAAGTGAGTGCAAACATTTTTTCACTCGAATCGCCAAATTGCATTATGGCGCCGTAATATACATAACGGAAGTCCGTACGTGGGCACTGATTACGGCCGGTTCTGTTCTGTCCATTTAACATCCGCTCTATTGTCCGCGTTTAATCTCAATGCACGTTTATGCGTACTGGGTTCGGTTTTGACGAGGGAAAAAATCCCCGGGTCGTTTGTAGGACGCAAAGCCTCATGCAAAAGCGGCAAAAACAAGCACGTGTTTGGCTTTTAAAAAAAAAAAGTTTCAAACAAAACACGGGTCACTGTAAACAATCGTAAGTTTTTAAGCACACAGCGGAGCGTTCAAAGTAAAACTTTTGGACAACATTTTTGGACGTATACAAACAAAGTGAGGTCTGAATTTTGTCCTGTTTAGTACGTATCCATTCCGTGTGAACTTCAGTTGAACGATATCAGATAATTTTCATTGTGACGTTCATTTAAAAGTTGTTCTCAAGCGATTTAACCGGGAACCGTGTGGGCGTGTGGGTGATGCGTCAATGACCCGCGAAACTCGTGGATCCGCATTCAGGTAACAACTGAATATCCGAAAACAGAATGACTAAATATGATATACGTTCTTATTTTATATGTCTCAGCTCAGCAACGGCCGCTTTTTCGAGCATTTAAAAAATTTTACATCGCATGTGAGGTGCATTTAGTATACAGCGCACCAACACTGAGATATTCATTAGTGGGTTATAATTTAACCATAATTGTTCTTCTATGGAAGACATGTCATTTACAACTAGTTCCGTGACCTCGCTCACGCATTCCCGCGCCTGCACCTAACAGTACTTTCCCGTTGACTTAATGCCGACTTTGGTCGGAACCTGATCATAGGCAAGTGTACATTATAGCGTTGAGATGGCGATCGACTGTTGCAATTTAATTATATTTCGAGTATGCGTAAGCGGGCGCTGCTTAGATTGGAACTTACCTACCTACCGGCAGAACCCGTACCCCGTAGCCTCTGGCTGGCTTTGCTTGCGTGCCGTGCATTCCATCCGAATGATTCCGAAGCGGCGCGACGTTGCCCGAACGTCGCTCTAAAATCGGCCGACTTCACACCGGTGCGTGCGCGAGCGCGGCTTGAACGTCTCGATCTCCGCCGATTTGTCTACAAAAGTTATCTGTCAACAAACCTCTCCGCGTTAGAAATAGACTGCCGACCTTTCGAGTGATTCCAAAATTTATTCACTGATTTTTGTGTCGTGCCATGTGTGAAAAAATCGAGGATTTTAGTTCTTCTCGGACTTAGTGTTAAGAACTGTGTTTTTTTTCTGTTTTCGATTGCGTGCAACTCGCGGTGAGCTACGAACCCGCCTTCGTGTGTGACTGTTTTAACCGCCAGCGTGAAAATATCTCAAACTTTTGTTTTAATATCACAAAAGCCTTATATGGATTTGGTGATTTCCAACATTTCACGGTAACTTATTAATTAATTCCTCTAATTATTTGTATTTATAACTTAGCGGATGGTCAGTCTGACGGCCTCAATAGTCCACGTCTTGCATGCGCCCGTTAACTTGCGATTCCTTTTTTTAAATTACCTAGTTTTTATTAGATAATGCTTCTTTTTTTATTCGCCGCTTCACGTCATTCTTCACTGAAAAATTTTGAAGCAATGAGCACACTTCGGTTTGATTAAGAATTTTCTTACTTACGTTATAATAATAGATCTTTGGTTACTAGGTACTCTAAATAAACTTGCGCTTAATACACATATACATTTACTTTTAACATGTATCGATAATTTTAGATGACAAATGAATATTTAACTATTTTCATTTGCGCTGGCGAATAATTTGGCAAGGTAAACTATACTTAAATTATTTCATTATGTGTTTTGCACTAGGTTAAGATAGAAAATGTTTTTTCCTAGACATTTGTGTTAAGTTTCTGTTTAAGAAGCTGCGTCATCAAAAACTTTACGAGACGGGTTTATATCACGTCAATCGTCAAAACCAATTGGAAAAAAACATGCTTAATATGCTTATAGCTTGTAAGTGCGTTCAGAAATTCGATGAAACCGGTACGGATTTAAAGGTAAAAGGTTATCCACAAATACCAATATTTCAACAATATAATTGATAGCTTTATGAATGTTTGGAAACATCTTGGCTTTTAATACAGATTGTTAAGAACACGCCTTTCACACAGTTGCTTTGATAAAATGAAGGTGCCTTTTTATAAATAATAAACATTTTAAATAAGCCCGCAAATTGTAATATCTTCTCATAATTGTTATTTGACGTCCATTATACATTTACCAATAACTTTGTCTCTTAATTCTATACACTCAGTATTTTTTTTTTTTCGAATCAAACGCTGACACCTGTCCAACTTACAATACTTTCTTCTCCCGATTCCATTTCCATTACTGCTGCAAGATCTGATCAAGCTCATTTCTGTTATTGGAAATTAACTGGCCGTTTCCCTTTTCAATGAAGCCATTATATTGAAAACTGTGCTAAATGTTACGCGTCTCGGTGCCTTTGACCGAATTATGAATATAATTACTTTTATAAGACCGTCAGTCGAAAATTAGTGTGTAATATGCGATATGCATACAGTATAATACAAAATTCTGTTACTATCTCATTTTTTTTTTTATAATGCAAACACAATTTCACACAATACGCGTTTAAAAGTTCCAATGAAGATGCTTATGGAGGTACGGTATCTTTTTGTTTTGTGTTCATGATATTAGGTAATAAGTTTAGTAAATTTAAAATTACAACCTGCATAAGCGAGTTACTGCGTCGGTCTTTACTTGAATCTATTGACACCATTAATTGACATAACAAAACCGGGTTTATTATCAACATCGCTTACCATCAAATACATTCTGAAGATATATAGGTATATGTATATATATACCTATATAAGATTTGATGGTATTAAAAGTAATGTCTATAGTCTCACTATCACATTAGCAAACTCGGATTGACGATTACAATTTGCTAACGGTGTAGTAGGTAGTTAATTTATGAAGCGGATGAATGGACATAAATTATATAGGTCGCGTCTAGTTATAACTAATGTAGAAAATAGAGTTAGTGTAGTAAGGCTTCGCTAGTACACTCGTGCTAAGTTGCCTTCGCGTTTTAATCGTCATGCTTACTCACGCGTACACATCGCTGTTTTCGTTTAATTTCATATTATATAGAGAATATATTTGCAAAGAGTTATTGTGATTATGTTAATAAATTCCTTCATTCAATATTGTGGACTAAGTATTTTTGTTAACTCTGTTCTTATGAATGCCATATTTAAATGGGAAGCGAGAATTATAGTTGGCGCGAGTAGGTATCTATATATATCTCTAAACATTTTTGAATAAAAAATAAGCTTTTTTACTTAAAGGACTTTTGATCATACAATAGACTGCTCTGACCATTATGTACCAAAACCACGTACAATACTTTATCCTCCCGGTTAAAAAATATCACTTTTTTATGCTTTTTGTATATAATAGTTGATTTTGATGTGTTAAACTAAAAATCGACTTCTAAGGATTATGCGTAAGTCTGAGGATTATGCGTAAGTCTATTGAAATAAAAGAAACAATCAAATTCTGATGGTGAAAATGTTTGGGTGTTACCACCAATTCGGTGGTAGCATTCAACCATTGTCTTCCTATACCATTTTCTATTTCATTCTTAGTTTGTGGCACCAACTAAGAATTCTATAATTCTTAAAATTAAATCCCAGCACACTAATACTGGAACACTTCCAAGTAGTTATATATGATAAGCATCGTGTAGATCGGACAAAATAAATTATCAAAAAAGACGTTAGCCCGGGCCAAGTATGGCATTAAGAGACTTCAAAACACCTGAGCCTGCCCGTGACAGAAAAGAGTTCGAAAATTAACAATTCCATTTTTATATTAGTGAAAAACAAAACCGCCTTCTATCATTTTATAGGTAATTGATTTTCAGGAGTTCCCTAAGTATCTCCGGAGCTCAAGATCCAATACCAATGAAATTAATATGGGACCACATGGGAAACACCAGCTTTCAAATAAAAGAATCATCAAAATTGATTTTTTTTTCTGTCCTAAGTTCTGAGGAAACAAATAAAAAATATAGTCGAATTGAACCTCCTCGAAGAGAACCTCCTCCTTCTTTGAAATCGGTTGAAAACTACAATTAAACGCTATGACTTTCCGAAATAATTTTTATTTAACGGTGTGTAGCATTCGCGGAAAGGCAGGGAAACATTACACGAATTAGTTTTATGATAAATAAAATGAAGTAATAATTTATTAGGGCAAATATGGGTTAACGACTTAATAAAAATAACGGTAATTGGTTGAGATAGTGGCTTTCAAAAATATCTTACGCCAATCATGCCAAAATATGGTTAGAGAGGCCAATTATACAGGCATTATCTGTTGTTTTGGAAACTGAGTGGAGTTGACATTCCATTCAACTGAACGGAACTTTCTTTGAAACTGGATTCCGCAATATAGTAAACAAGTTCCAATTTGAAGCTAACGATGTATGAAGGACAAAACTCGAGGTGAAATCGTATTATTTTGTCAAAACAATACAATAAGGTTAGAGGTAATGTGTCTTTATGATTGCGGATATACATATGTAACGAAAAGCTTTATTAAAACTTATGTATAATTGCATTAAAAAAAAATAACCAAAAGAACAAGACCGCAGAGTTTCTTGACGTTTCTTCTCTGTGCAGGTCTAGTTTAGTGAACCGGTGGTAGATTTTTTGTTGACGTTCAATAAGAGCTTAAGTTAGGCCTATATTGAAAAAATATACTTTGACTTTAACTTTGAAAACTCTAAAATACCTTACCTATTTATTAGCTAGTCTACATTTTGTAATATTTTTCTTTTACGCGACTTTTAGGCTATATTTATTTTGGCCCATCAAGAGTCACACATGATATAATTAAATCTTTTGATAAATATTTCATTCCGTCCAATTTAAATAAGTGCACACTTAACACTAATTGAAAACCATCGTGAGATTAATTATATCGAACCTCATTTCAAATTAAATCGAGTAAACGGAGAGAATATTTGCCATGAAAAAAATACGGCAGACTTCTGGGAATTAAAGTTAAGTATTAGGAATAATTTATTTGGCAGTAAGTCGGTAAATGACTCACGTACTCCAAACATTTTTATACAAGTCAGCGGGCTTTTGCTCACTCCGGAAATTTGTTTCAGATCAGTCATCAGACCAAAAATTAAAAAACACTATTTAAAATTATAAAATTTTGCACGATCAGTCCATTCAAATTAAAGATTTTTTAAGTATCTCCTCAAGTTTCGTGGTCAATCTAGTAATTTTATTCCACGAGTATTTATTTGATCTTGAAATCATTTGCATTCAATCCTCAGTTTTTGCTCATCGCTTGCCATTGACCCATTCGATTTCTCTAATTAACAATAAGGCCTTTAATGTGACACGCCGAATTTAAATGATTTTTAATTTAAATTCTCAATGTATTTGTAAGTTATATGTATTTTTTTCTAGTACTGGTTTTATGAACAAGATAAATGCTATGTAATGTTGTAATAAACTTTTGGGGTTCCAGAACAAGCTCTCAGAAATGTCTTCTTTTATTGCATGAAAAGGGATTGGGAAAGGCCTTCTTTAATCTTACCATTTACTTTACACTGTATTCCTATCAAAATGATCACTAATAGTCTTTTATATGATATTTATACACATGTACACGTTGCTTTTCATTTGTCAATACTTTTACGACGAGTTCAAATCCTATCACAGGATTGGATAACGGTGTTAAAATTGCTTAAGTCTTATAAATTCTTATAAACAATTATTAATTGCTTCCATATTTTAATATAGGAGATATCATATAGTTAAGTGCGGTGTAAAATATTATAAAAATCTGGTTACTTATGGTACTGACCAAACTTTAATTTATTTGCTCTTTAATTTTAAAATTTTTTACCATGGTGCGTGGCTAAAGCACTTAAATATGACCCAAATGCCTCGCGTTCAAGTGGGTAGAGTTAATGGTGCAAGATAAGATAATTGGTGTAAGTAATTATCAAATTTCACACTTCTCTCGCTACTTATCGAAAAACAAATATTGTTCCATTTTTATCAACCACGTCGTGTCGAGTTTCGTAACAGTTCTATAACCTTTTTAAGAATCCACTTTAACCATAAGAAAGTTAGTAATATCTCGAAAACATTTCCCTTTCGCTTTATATTCTCTCTTTTTTAAAGAATGATTAGAACTCATAGTTCACTGTGCTCAATAGCTTCAAACGGATTAACATCTCATGAAAACGTTAAAAATGTTTTAGGACGCAGTTAAAGACGTACAGAAAGAATTTTTAGTGTCGAGAACATAGTGTTTTTTGGTAGAAGTACAAGGAGTATGACGGCCAACAGAATATAAATAACAGTCTTGGTTTGGGGTAGTTTCAGTGTTTTTTTTTTTTAAACTATAATCAGGATTTTTTATTATAGCCTTTAGTAGGCAGGTATTGCCAAATCCGTAGGTACTGCTTTCTTCTTTTTTTGATGGGGGTGGAAAACGAACAAGCTGTTCTCCTTGTTGTGGTAAATGATCGCCGCCGATGTTTTAACGTAGGCAATAGTCTCTTTACTAAGGTTCCCAACTTGTATTTGACCGGAACTAGCGCTGGCGACAACTGACTGCAAGTACTGTTCCCGATTGTTTCCATACATAAAAGTTACCAAACGATAGTTTTACACAATTCATGACTCGATAGGTCTTATTACTTAGACTGTAATGGTTAATTTCGCAAATAACCAAATTCGTGAAATGAAGCTGTGTAAGAAACTTTCTGTATTATTTTGTGTAAAAGTTCAATTACGGGGGACAACGATCGATCGACTATTCACTCGCACCCGAGTGTTATCCGTACGGTATGGCGTTATTCCGCGGCGCGTAACCACGACGAACAATTTCGCGCCTCAACTGTTCGGCGGTTAAGTGCGTTATAGTGGGTCGCGGTTACATCTCCCAGCGATGCAATAAGAGGTGTTTAGATAACTCTGTCACGGCGCGGGTAATACATAAAATAAGGCCTAACGGGTCTCGCCCTTCACGGCCTCTTTATAAATAGTGAACATCTGCTGCTTGTTCCACTGACTACGCTTCTCGGTGCTTGACACTCTGCGGAGCGCTGAGTTGTTTACAAAACTGAGGGACCGTAACACAAACATGCTTCAGCGTGCTGTTGGCCATGTCCAGATTAATATCAATCTTATGGGTATGCTGTTATGGATTAGTATGCTAAGTTAACTCCTTGGTCTCACTTGATGAGTTGGACGCAATATCTCTATGTGAGACGTGGGTGTCTCGAACGTCCTCTACATCTATGCCGGGATGGGAAAAATACGAGTTTCAGGCCTTTTACGGCTTTCACTGGTGTACTGCAAGGTCACGGAGTCAGTAGATATTCTACTGTTAAAAATGAGTTTCTCAATTCGGTTGTATTTTCTTATCTTTGTTAACTCAGAATTCCGTCATTTATAGATAATTTTTTTTGTTGAAAAGGATATATTAAAAACGGTGCTCCTGTTTTAATTTCATTGACCTTGAAATTTATTTTATTTATTTTATTATTTATTTATTTCTATAATAATATCAGTACAGATCATTTATATCTAATTAATGTTAGTTCCACTAAGGAAAAGACAATGAGTACACTGTGGCTCCCAAACTAGGCAGTGCCTGTATCTTGGAAGCCACAGAATTATATTCGAAGATACAACAGGGAACTTCTTAAAATCGAATATTAAAGGTATAATGAGTGAAAGATTTGAAATGGATTTTGTTTTTTGTTATCCCACGGGGGGTTGACAGACTTCATATATCTTCGAAACATTTTTTTTATTATACTTAATTACGAAAATAAGCAGGGTTCATATGTGTGCCATTTACAATTTAATTAGTGCCGGTATCGGAATTTGAAGTCTGATAGTTCGTGTGTATTGAATTAAAAGCAGGCGCTAGAACGATGCGCTATCACACGTTAAAAAAATGTTATTTTAATTTTTTTCCCATGCACCCAACACACGCAAATTGTGTGTATTTAAAAAGAGATTCAAAAAAAAATTATTGTACATTCAGCTAGTACTCCTGTACTTGGTTCGCGGCGCGCACGGTGGGCTGCGACGTGACGTCTCCCACCCGATAGCCCATCTCACGAGCGACCCACTTACTCCCAAGGTCATCGGCTGACCTCCTAATCTCGCTATTTCCGTGACCAGAGACACCTGAACACGATGCACCCTGCCGTAACTCAGCCAAGAGATAAAACTCGAACATAACCGACCCGGATAATTTAGCCTCTTCGTTTTATCGTTTACTGCGAAATCGCACTTTAGTAGCTCTACAAACAGTACAATAATGTTGTAGTATGCTTAGTTTTGTATTCACATTCATTAACGTCATTTTAGATTGTTAAATAAAACCAAATTTACGGAACTTTTCACGTTTAATTTCAATTTGCAATACCAACGTTTTACGAGCAGATTATTCGCTTAAGATAAAGAAATCATGACACGAAAAGCAAGTATTAGTTACAAATTCATCCCGGTTCGTAAGTGCGAAAGAGGCACGTGATAACTAAGCGTTCTAAATGCGAAGCGTCTCTACTCTCCGTCTGATATTGAAGGAGCCGTGCCAAAATTGTAAATTATGGCCGTTTATAAATAGCGTTACGGGCACGGTCACGTAGCGAGGCGCGCGGCTGCGACAGATCCGCAGATAGGGCGCCAATCAGAGCGTGCGCCCGCCGTATCACGGCCTCTCCGAAACACAACACACTTTCTAATCTACGCCTTTGTCACTACGTTCGCCTATTGGCTGGCTGACTTTTGCTTGACTTTCGCCGATTGTTTTCACGCCGCATTAGACCTATGCGGATAAACGCCTGTAAACGCAGCGCGTTCGTCGCGTTTGCATCACTACGCAGTGCTAGCCCGCGTCGCGAATTCCGTACGACGGGGCACGTCTCGCCCAGGATTCCGTTCGGCCGCGGCCAGATTGCATTTAATCCGAACTGCGGTTTGCCAGAGCGCCGTACCGATATTACGTACGGACGCATCCATCCCCGTCGGGGCTTGCGTAGTAGGAGAGATGGACAGGCTCATCTGCCGCACTCTTGATATGGCAAGTTGGACGAGTGTATTTCAGAAGTGCGCTGGGATGTGGCGTTCGAGCTCGTGCGGGAAGCAGCGCAGCGTGGGGGGAGGGGACCGGTCCGCGTACCGGTTTGCATCGCTCGGCATAGGACTAACCGTTTTATTAGCCGAGCGGTGCTCCACAAACTATAGCCACCGGCCGAAGTTAGCAGCCCTAGCGAGCCGCACCCACAAGCGACACCTCGCCGTTCGCGTACCAATCTGTACAGTACGCAACAATATTCCCGCACTATTACATACGCACTCTGTAGTTCGGACTGTGCTCAATGGCGATGTGTATTACACTCGTTACGCGTAAAACGACGCTAAACGGTCTCACAAAATGTCACGGTTGTTTTGCAATGCTATTGTACGTGAAACACAATCGTCAAATGAAAACGGGCGTCTTGACACAGGTGCAGAAGCCGGCGGCCGCGTCGCGATTGCGACTTTATTGAATGGAACCGTGTAACTTTTTTTACTTTTGAATTGAGCAACGTATCGTAAACGGACTTTTATTAATTACAAGCAAGACAAACATCGTCGTTAGTGGTGAACCCGAATTCTCAAAAGTCGCACCTGTACACGATAATAATTAACTATTTTCATTTTATACGACACTCGTGAGAACAGTGGAGATGTAAATGCATGAATGGCGGAACATATGCTAATCAGAGTTTCTACGTTGGGCCTACAGATAAAGGTCAAATTAAACATGCGTCTTCTCGAGTAAATTGTGAAATCTGAGCATGGATGCGGGTACCGTGTCATCGCTTAGTTGTTTCATTGTATTGAGCGGGAAAATATATAAGATATATATGTAAGAATATTGACAACAGCAGTATATTATACTCACTCGGTTTACATAATTATGTTTGTTACGTATTTTATTTATTCGTGTATAATAGAAATAGAACCTATGCAAAACAATACAAAATTTCATATTGGCAGCGAGTTCGGTGTCAAAATATTGACTGATTTAGCAAACGAAAATTTCACATCAACTTGCAGCAAGAAGTGCCCAACGATTCGTGACTTGCTCAAATTCGGGATAAAAGCGTCTTTGCAACGTAACCCGCGTGGCAGTTTCGTGAGATTTCTGTCTTTTCTTTGAGAGACAATTTTCGGTAAACAGCGAATAGTCATTGGCCTTGTCGGTTGTTCGGTCGGATCGCGTGGCACCTTGCCACGGCGATGTTTTGGGTGCGCGACAGCGGAGCGGCACACTTTCGACTCGCCGTCCCACTAGGAGCCGCTCGGCGTCGCTTAATTGCAAAACGCGGCAACTGGGCTAATGAACCTACACCATATTATCCGTCAAACGTGTGAAAAAGAAAACTCGACGCGTTCACTTTTGTCTCGTGCGCTATTCACGCCGGCATCGAATTCATACGGGCCACCGTTTCGTGCGGACGGGTTTTGCCATATCCGGACGCCGTCACGGTGCGCACGCCCGTTTGAATGCGTCCCGAACAAAAACTATACCGAGTGTGCTCACGGCGAATATAGTTCAATGACGGTGGACGTTGCGGCCGTTGCGCGGGGGCTCACCGCCGCGGGCCGTTGTAAACGCTCGTGTTTGGTTGTAGGCGCCGGTGAGTGGACAGGGGGGCGATGGGTTTGAGCGATGTGGTGTGCGGGTCGCTGAGGCGCCGCGGCTAGTGCGATGTTCGAGTCGCTGGTGTCGCGGCTGACGTCGCCGCCGGTGTCGCGCCGCAGGCACACCGTGCACGCGGCCCGCGAGGTGTGCAGCGAGCCCGAGGAGGAGGCGCCCCTGCCGCGCCGCCCGCGCGCCGCCAAGCAGCTGCTCGACAAGCGGCGCAAGGCGAGGCTCTCCTGCGCCGACCTCACCGCCGCCGAGCCGGAGAGGGCGTCCCGCATCGACGCGCTCAAGGCCTTCCTGCCGCTGCGCCAGTCCAAGTCCCTCGGGCGGCTCGACGGGCTCAAGGAGGTCAGTAGTTACGGTACACCCCGTGGTCCTTCTGCGAAAAAGGTGATGATGATCGGCGCGAAAACGTTAAGTGCAAAAATGGTTGTGTATTTTAGTCGGCGTATCTCTCGGTGTTGAATAAACGCGTTCGGGGCCTCCTAAATGCAACGCGGTCGCGTAACTATTTCGAAAACCGCTTCGCCGCTGACACTTGGCGGTTGCTTCCAGCATCTCGGTTGCGACATTTTGTCCGCGGCCTCGGCGGGCCGCACCTTTTGCCCCCTGCTAACACTGCGGACCGACCCTTTATATAGTTGCGCAAGTCACACGTCAAAAGAGTTATCTCGAACTTTATTGGCATAATTTTTCAAACAAGTGATCGTGTGTCTTCTGATCATGGATTAATAACAATTATTTTGTAACTATATATGAGTTTATCGTATGCAATGAGTAAAATTTACTCACTCCCATCCGATGGTTGTCTAGCCGACATTACTTTAAGCCGCTTTAAGAAATTTCTTTTATAAAGCAGCCCATTGCACAACCTATATTTAACATATAATTATATAATATGTATTTATTCTCACGGTGTGTGCAATTAAGAGTATTCATGCATTCATTCAAATAAGAGGACAATCAAATATTCTTCGCTCCGTACGAGTTAAACACCTTTTGATATTCCGACGTCACCGAGCTATCGATGCCAACGCGTATTTTACCGTGAACGCCGTTGTATAGGTGTCCAGATGTGATTAGTACCCTAAATTAAATGACCAACCGCTGCGTCCATCACAAGTCAACGTCCATCAAGTTGCGAAACATTGTAAAGCGTTCCACTCTATGGCATCACATCGGCTTGTAAAGATAATACAAACAATACGTACAAGTGATTCGACATTTGAAAGTATGACTTGTCAATTATTCGACGTACTGCTGAATGCACCTAGTGGTTTCAAGTGCACATACCCGCGGCATTTCGAGATTTTCATTGAAGCTATTCGAACGTAACGCTTACGAAAGGCCTTAGTAATCTACTATCATGCTTGACCTTTTAGAAAACAATCTAAGCTTTGATTTTTTTTTACCGTGTGATTATAACTCTTAAAGGTTTAATTCACATTTATCTGAGCAAGCAGTTTTTGGGAGAAATTCCTTTTTCATTCAAAGTTTAAAACTGTTTTGATTGATTTCTAACTTTACCAATAAAACGTCAATCTTAAAAATATAATATATTCAAGATATACGAAATCGGAAACTGACAAAATTTGCAATGATCAATTTAGTGCCCATTTCCTGTTATGGATCGAGGCTTGTGGTCCATGACCTAGTTGGTTTAGTTTTGGCGATCGATTTTTATTTTTATTTCACTGCCTCTAACATTGCGTTACTTTTACATTACACATCTATCAAATCTTGACAAAGACGTGGTGATATAACCAAGCAAAAGGTTTTCAAATAACGTTTATACGTAATTTATGAATTTTCATATATGTAGAACTTTAAGATACTTATCGTCTAATAATAGCACGTTTTCGATTACCTCTGTTTTCGTTTTCTTTGCCAAAACACTTTATTATTAATACTCATGACATTTAAATATATTCTTCACACACGCGCAGCAATGTCTCAATAATACAATATAAAAATTTATTAAATAAAATTGGTTTCAAATTAATTTATTTAACATAAACTATTATGTACTACTAACTGTTTTTAATGTTCATCAAATTCACATCATGTGTACTTTGTGTTCAATAATCAATTTGAAGGCTTCGCGGTGAAGTGCGGAGCGTGAACATTATCTAGAGACGTTATAGCCGGTGTAAAATAAATAATTAATCGGCGATACGTTTAAGGTTAAAACAAACAAGTTTCCAATGTACATAATGGCAAGGCCGGCGGCGTAGCATCTACGTAAGCCGGGCAGCAAGGTCTGTACCGAAATAAAACACCGTTATGAGAGACGAGACGCCTCCGATAGTCCGCAGATAGTGCAAGAATGCGCGAGATACGCAGGTAGGGACAGGTATGCTTAGCCTTGACTGCAGGTACTCTCACGCGCACAAACCTCCGTCAGGGTTGCCACGTGGTCATTTCAAAAACTGCGGATAAAGTTTAGGCAACCCCGCTACTGTACAAATTTCAAATATGTTTCAACAATTCATTTACGTTGATGAGTTACAACCATAATGTTGGAAACTAGGCAAACGTTCAAATTTCTTTGACAGCGTTATAAAATCAAAACCGTCTTCGTGGAAAGTACACGTAAAATCCTAAAATAACCGTATACTGGAATGTCCGGGGAAGCTCTTAAAGCTTTGTGGTCCCGGGACGTGTGCGTGCTATTTGCCCACGTGATTCACAGACAAATGCCACATCGACGCGCGCATCTGTTCGCCGCATTGTGCGCTCTAGAGGCATCTCGTCGCTAAAGCCTTTTGTCCGCCAACGAGAACATCTGTTCGAGAATCCTCTATTAATTCATCCGCAGGTACTGCAATCAGGCCGTAATCACGCACTAGGCACGCTAGAGGAGTGTTTGATTGCTTTGTTTATAGTCAGATGAATATCGGATTTCGTTTGTCCGTATCTTCATTACAAGCTGTGGATTTCCTCCTTTATTTTTTGCCCGCGCGACCGTCCACTGTAACACACAATGGCATTTAACATTGAGAAATATAAGTTTTACCTACGAATATGTAAAATTATTATGCTTATCACAATTAGACATAATTTTGCGCTAACGTTAATATGCGATGGATGGTGTTAACATTTTTGGCTTTGTGAATAAAAAAAAATAGTTCCTCTTTTCAAACGTTCAATGTTCTACAAATTTGTTTGACCGTATAATTTATATATCACGTAATTACACATACAACTTACTAAGTATATATTAATGATTTGTTAAGCTCATGCAATTACAATACATTTTATTAATACTACATTCAATTGATGTACGAGATGTTTGAGGTGTACTAACACGCTCAAAATTTGCTCCGGGAGAGTTGAGTGCCGCTAATACTAATCACTTATGATTTTTTGTCTATTTCAACGGTACTGTGGCGTATTAACAGTGTCAGGGGAAAAAAGCACCGCTCCGACGAATGCCTTTGGTTTTTTCGCAGCGACAGTGTCAGATTCCGGGTAGCGATTTGTATTTCCCTGAGTCAGAGCTAACGGGACGCGTGGCCCGTCGCGACCGCGAGATCGACAAAGCATGGCATTCGGTGGCCACTTAGTGATCGCACACAATCTATATCACAACCCTGAAGATAGACTTCTATATACGGATTCTCATTCAATACTTGTCTGTTACAATTCCACAGCTGAATATAGTCTGCGAACAACGATTTTCACAGCGCAAAGTTCGGAGCAACCTTCAAATATCGGTGTTCGGCAACTTAGACGACAGAGTTTAAGGGAGTTTAACTCGTCGAGGACAAATCAATTTTCCGGAGTCGATAACGAAATTACTAACAGTGTTATTTCGTATTCGTTTCAACGTTCAAACCCTTGAACACATTCGAAACCACTTTTAAACCTTTTATGCGACATTGAAACAAACACTTTTTATTTAGTTTTCTACCAATCACTTGCACGGTGGATGAAGTCATGTTTTAAGCATGCGGATTGTGTCAAAGAGCATTGAACTACGGAAAATTGATATACTGGCTAATTAAAACGCTTTAAAAACCGTATTACATTTGTTGCGTCATTAGAATTAAATTTACACATAGAAGGAAGGAGAAAATCTTTTATGGCCTCCAAAATTTCTATAATGTCGCGGTTATTAGGTTATGTCATAACAAAGAGGACTTTCAAAAAATACAATGTTTGCAATATTAAATCTTACTAAATTACATATCATGAAATAAACCTAGTCTAGGAAGCATGATACCAAGAACCCTATCTGCATTTCCTCGCTGAATAATTATGCTTTACCTTTGAGTGAGAGAAGAATCAGGCTACTTGTCACGAGCCGCGAAAAAAGAATTTGAAAGAGTAAGAAAACTTGAATTAAAAAGGGTAATTTTACAGAACAGGTATGCTTGCGAAGTATTTTCCTTAAAATATTTTATGTGGTGAGCGCATGTATGATAACACATTGAAGGCGACTCTGCGCCATAAATTAACCGTACAAATGCCAATAAGAGACTGTGAACCTAATAAAAAGCAATTAAAACGGGACTTGGACGATTTTTATCCCGTTTTAAGTGGTTCAGTCTGAAATACTACGTTCTTTTTTTTTTTAATGTGCACTTCTTTCATTATTGGCCGTCGTTAGTTTAATGTAAACAGCTGAAATTGGCCCTTTCACCGCAATCAACTATCGATAGTCCAGCTAAAGAAAAGGAAATGGTTATGGATATAATCCATTTTAGTATTTATTTATTTATTTAAAATTTATTGTTTACACCTCAACTTAATGCTAATAAGCATTCTCTTCCAGTCAACCCTGGGGAGAAAGTTTGACGCAGGTGCAAAACAAAATACGCGAAATAAATTAAAGAAAAATAAATAAAAGATAACAAAAATAGAAAAGGTACATTCTATAGAAATATACTTTATATATAATCATTAAATACATATAAATTTCAATACATAAACATTATATATATACACATAACTTGTTTCAATATACATATTTTTTTTTACTTTAAGATTCAACGATCAAATGTGGGGAATGTTTAATTGGAAGTTTCCACGTCACTGTTTCTTCAATAATGTCCCTCGAGTGAGTCATTTATTTATCGTTCAATTATTTAATTAAGATAAGGACATTTATTTCAAGTTTACTTTTGTTCAGACACCTGTCGCAGGACATTATCGTTTTCTAAATCACTTTTTAATCCTCTTTTTTTCGTATTTCGAACTCTAGTTACGTGTTTAATGAGAAGGTCTTAAGCGAAGCTTAAGGTCTAGCGAAATTTAGAATAAGAGAGAAGATGAGAGAGACAATTATACCGCTTTTAAATTTTTAATTTAAATGTTCAGTTTGACATTAATACAAGTTCCGATGGGAGTAAATTAGTATTATCAGTGCGCGCAGTAATCTGGGTGTCGTTTAGCTTATTCGAGGCATGGCTTCGATAGAGATGTTTAATTGGACGGAAATGTGCATATTGGGGTACGTCAACTGCAAGTATGACGCCTGTCCTCCTTGGCGGAGGAATTTGCACTGCGCGCACCCTGAACCTCACCTACCCTCGCTACCTCCCTCCCCCCACCTACCTCCTTCTGCCCCTCCACCGCGCACGCGCTGAGCACGCCGAGGTTATTACACCCGATGGGCACCCGCAATCCAACCCGGCGCGAGTATGTTATACGTTACGCACCTCATTGTGCGTCCAAAGCCGTGTGTCAGCTCTGGACTAATCAGTATGGATGTTAAAGTTCAAACGCCCTGATGCGATTGTGGAGTTTGTTACTATGGGCTTTTCGTGTCTATTATAATACATTGTTTAGCGCTTAGGCTATATATGTATCTACTTATTATTATTTAAGTATAATAAAGCTGCAAAGTTTGTTTGTTTGTTTGATTTCTGGAACTGCCAGTCGGGTTTGAAAAATCTTTTTGCATTTGATAGCCACACTCTTGAGGAAGGTTATAGGATACATAGGTTTAACTTCACGCTACGAAATACAGGGTCGAAGCCGAAACTTTTCTCGCGGATGAAATCACATGGAAGTCATGGAACAGCTAGTATATCAATAACAAGCATAAAAACAAAATCTAAAATGGAGGTATTGAATAAACGTTGTCTTTTTTTACTTTATTAAGTAGATTTATGTTAGATATTCTTTAAACGTTCTAAAATTTAGATTAACGTATATATGGAATTCTATTAAAATAATTTTTACTTTGATATTGTTAGTGAGCTTATTTACATATCTTATCCATTATTCTATCGAATAGTTTTTACAGCTTGCTACATTGTCGTAACATCGATTAATTGAAAACGAAGGTTGTACAGTTAAATGATCATTAATCTTAATCGGAATTCACGCGTACTAGTAGAACCTTACACGATTTTTAATGCGCCTATTTGGCCATGTTATCGTCATCAAGTGTACAAAATCGCAGAAATTTAATGCCGGTGCCATTTCGTCGCAATAAACGTTTACTAAACGAACGATGATAATCTTAGTTATTTTCAGACCCGTTACTTCATTAGCTCCGTTATTAAAGTCCAGGTTGATGTTTTTTTAACTTATTTAAAAATTCACGATGTGATGGGCAGCTTAATTAAAATTAGGTGTATAAACGTACAAGAGCATAATATTATTTACGGTGGAAGGGCCACGCAGCATGAATCGTCAGGAAAAATACCACAACCTCAAAAAAGATCGGCGCAAAGTTAATTAATTACACCTTTGCGTTTATTTTGACGACTGAGGTAATCGGTGCCCATTTTTTTTAAGATATTGTAGATCCATGACCTGATCGTTTGCTATCTTCTCACATTAAAAAATAGCAATAGGTATTGTAATACCTCACTCAACATATTAGTATTTTCTTGTGGTATTACTTATTATATTCGTTTTGAATCATCTTGGTGCACACAATGTGCAGTTTTTTTGTAACACGTATTTTGGAAATTATATAGATACAAATTACTGAGTAATGAAATGTGCATAATATTTTTCAATCTTACCGACGTAATAATAAGAAAATATGAACTGGTGTTTTCACAAAAGAAAGAACTTTAAAAAAAGGGAAAAAATAACAAAATCATCTGGATCGATAAAAAATAAAAAATAAAGAAAGCAATGATCTGGACTCGAAAAAAAAGTCAAAAAAATAAGTGTGTAAATGATCGTGATACGAACCGCGGCCGTCTGTGTCGGGCCGCCTGATTACCGATCGAGCTATGATATAATATAATAAATATCTAAAATGAATTGTCTCGAATTATTAAATCAATCTAGCTAGGTTTCATTAATGAAACCTAGCTAGATCGATTTTTCGCTCCCGGATCTACGCACATACTAAATTTCATGAAAATCGCTGGAGCCGTTTCCGACATTCCGATTATATATATATATATATATATATATAAAAATGCATTTGTTCCGTAACCTCTTGTGCTCAGGTTGGGTGTACTTTCTGTGTCCGTGATTTTATTTTGTATCACGGAATGAATTGCTAGTGTGGTCGTTTAAAAGAGCCTTCTACATGCGATTAGGCAATCGACCCTTAGTTACCATATTAAATTCCGGATTGCAACTAGACGGTAAGTGAATGGACAGGGGAACAATGGGCATCCATCAACCCAGGCATCGACGGGCGGACAGCGAAGTTACTTATACTCCATTGTGACAGGTGCTTACGAAGTTACGTAACGCGTGTGTGTATTTTCCTCTCGTTTTACGACGACTCTTAAACCTTATTTATGCAGCGTTTTGAAATCGCAGGCCAGTTTTCTGTTGATCGTCGTTTTCTGTATGTAATGATGAAGTAGGCTTAATGACTCTTATCTTTAAGTAGCGTTGCTAATGTAGTCTCATAACTTACAATATTTATGTCAATTCTATAACTGAAGCACTAGCGTTATTAAACGTATTTTAGGGATTTAATCGGGATTCATTCGAATCAAAATTCCAAAAGCTTCGAATAATATTCGGTATTCATATTCATGGGACGGACTGATTACCCCGCAGTCTTACAATTTGTCTTTTTATAAGCAATAATAAAAAGAAATGTTACACCAAGTGTAGGTGACTTGTGTTATTACATTAAACGAAATATTTTTTACTGAAAATTTCCAAAAGATCAACCAATTCTTATAATTAATGTAATGAATTTAAATGTCAGCGGTAATCGTACCTTCCGATAAATAACGGATAAATGAAAGCTCACCACAAAGGTCAGGTAAGTTACGATTGAAAGTCGAGTGAAAATAAGACAATCAGAGGTGGTACGGTACTTGAATTCATTTCAGCCCATAAATTTCATAATTGCCAAGAATCGAAGCCAATAATTGTGTTAATGTTCCGATACGATTACCATTCAGCACTCACTGTCAACTTATTGCTGCAAAAAGATAGGAAAGATAAGGAAGATTTAAAAGAGAATTCCTGTCTACCAAAATCAAAAGCTAAGTAATACTTTTTGGTAATTGAAGCCGACCGATTAAACATTTTATTTCGCAAAAAAAATACTTCCTGTAGTCATGAATATCCTAACTAGTATTAAATTCGTTTATTCTTATAATGGAGCCTTATTAGCGTGCTTTAATGCGACTATTAGAATATAATAAAAATAAGCTTTTTCAATCTAATATTATACATAATTATCGGGTTTGTTAAATTTAATTTTTTGCACTTAAGATTGAACATTAAAATATATATTAATTAATGTTCAATCTATTAATTTAATATAAAATATATACAGTTTTATTCGCACAATTTTACCTTATATTTAAAATGTAGAGACTAACACTAAAAATAAAAGGACATAAAAATAAATAAAAGCGCGACGATGGAATTACAGTTGCCGTAACTAATGCTCCAGACGCAACTTACATCAGATACGTGAAAAATTTACATTTTTAAATAAATTAAACAACAAAAACGATATTAAAATATTTAGAAAAAGTAGGTACGAAAAGATAGTCGCCGCTGTGGGAATCGAACCCACGTCTTCGGCATTCGCGGCCTGACGCTTTAATCACTAAGCTAAACAGCTGATTGACGATATAAATGTTTTCTGCTGTGACCGTCTTCAATTCTAGGAGTGTTTATAAACTAAACTTCTGCCAACCCTGCACGTGATGTGGGCGGGCCACGTGCGTGATTGCGACACTTCGTAGAGGACTGGGTAAACAACTTACACCTACTGTGTGCTTTCTAAGTCCCTTCGAGCTACCCCTTCGGTGTACTCTACTACTTAACGTCACTAGCGAACCTTCTACGCGGCCCGTTAGTCTCTGGTTTACTTAATCTACAGCGGCCACGTGTTAAGTTATCACATATTTTAAACAATAATTTACAAAGTAATTGAAAAAGCCTTATAAAAGACGCGTACTCGTGCTTATTATTTAGCATTCCCTCATCCTTCCTTTATCATGACGTGCATAAAAGGCGAGATCAGTAACATATAAAAGAGAAATCTATTAACTGAATCGTTCTAAAACCGACAATTAATAGGCTTTTAGGAATTGACTTGCTTACGAGTTTTGTCTATGTTTATTAATTTATGGTACATGCTAGTATTATGGTATATTTCGTATGGTGCATGCTAGTCCTTATGAGTTAAAATATAATATGTGTACAGATAGAAAGCTCTAGCGCAATCGCTGATACTGAAACTACCACTTTTAATGATGTATTAATCTTTGCTCACGCATAACACTACAGTGGACTATTTGGTAACAAATTACAATGACCAGTGAAGGTATCATTACGGCAATGGTAGTTGGCTATCTAAGATTTATCATTTTGCGTAGTGTTGAAATCGTTTATTGTTTTTCTTAGCGTACTCGTGGCGTAACAAAAAATTAATCGTAGATTGGGCTGTTGCAAATCTATTCATCGCGTTAACACGTAACGTTTTACCGTTCCGTGAGAACGTAAACCTCTATTGTATTGTGTTCAAATTTACTATCGTAGTATGTTACAGTAATCTTATCGGTAAACAAGTTTTTTTCTAAACGGTTTAATAGGATTAAGCTCGGGGGATTTTTTTAAAATATTTGAAATATCAGCACTACTAAATAAAACTAATATTTCGGATCTATCGCGTTTATTTTTAAATTTACTTCCCGACGTTTTCAACCCTTCTCAGCGTTCATGGTCAAGGTACAGACTGAAGCGTTCAACGTCTGAAAGTTTAGAAATGTTTTGTTAGCCCGGACTACCGTTAGTTTTTAGATTATTGATTTTGCGTTGCGTAGACGACGCAAAAAGTGTGCTAATTTTATCTTCTTGGGCGGTAGTGGTTCTTTTAGGCCTAGATTTAATTTTATTGATAATAGGGTGCCGAAGCTGATGGTAGCACCCAACCCTATCTATTGAAATTAGAGTGTTTTTTAAATTTCAATAGCCTCGCGGACCATCCTTGTATCATCTCAGTACTACATTGGACCACGTGTTCCCAACTTTGTGTTATAAGTCCATTCACGAATTCGCACATCTGTCTTTGGTTTCCTTGTTTTCTTGCGCTAGACAAAGGGTCTCTGACGACCCGCTGCGTCCGAAGCCGACAAAGCTTTTTGTGTTCCGTGCTAAACTTCGAAAGTACGATGAATGGCGGTGGTGATATCCCCCCAATCGTATGGGAAACTTTTACGGAGTCAATGCCTAGCCAGTTAATTAGTTTTGTTAAGACCGAATTCCTTCTCTTTGCTTTGAAACTTTTCTAACTAAATAAC